TTAGGGGAGGCCCAAGACCGGTTCGGATAATCGTCACTGGTGTTGAGCCGAGAGCGGGAATCGAAATCCGACATTCGGGTTCGTAGCGCAGCTACCCCACAGTACATACATCCACATACTGTTTGCGAGCACCTATGAAGGCCCGCACTGTGGCACGCGAGGGGGTGGGTGGGGTGAAACAGCACCTCGCCCAGCCGCCTTTGTATCCCTCGTGGCGACGTACGCTACGCACCGCATCAAGGTTCCGTGCCGTGATTTTGAGGGCCCTCCTCGTCACTGTCCCGTAAGCCAGAAAGTTCCCAAACTACTACACGGGGTCTGCGGAAAAGAATAAGAAATAATAATCATAATAACCTCAACAAGGAAATGTACAACTACAAATGCACAGCTGTCAACCCATTCGGTTTACCCCGTGTTCTCGTACAGGGAAATTTTGTTTTTAGGTCCATACGGCATACAACCGTTTCAATACGGACAAAAAAGAACTACCGTACTTTTATATTCATATTCTTAGTTCTTTCGGTAAAGTCACGTTGAAGGGAAACAATAAAATAATAAATATATGTAAAACAAAAAAATTCTCGCCGTACTTTTGTCTATTTGTTTATGTGTCTCCCTTGTGATGGGACTTTGTATGATGAACGTTGAGATTTGCAAGGCCACGGGGTGACCAATAAGGTCTAAATTGGTCTGTAATAAGATAGGGCACTGATAAGCGGTTGACTGGTTTGTAAATAACCGAGTAGCGTGTGGTGGTGGTGGTGAAAAGTGGTCCTCACACTCGAGAAGGCTGCCAACCGCTGACATCAGCCGCAGGGCCCTGTTGACAGTCGCCAAACTCCGGCGGCAAATTGTGGGTCAGTCACAAAAGCAAAACCGTGGAGCGGTTTCCACATTCATCATCTCGTCGGCAGAGTCTGGGTGCGACCGTGCGAGACAAATCAAATATTGACCCCCACCACCTGATCAATTGGAGCACCCCCATATGAGCTGATAATGCAGCAACTTACGTCACTGGTTAAGGCTTCGTGTGGCTCCGTCGTTCTACGGTGGAGTCGAACGAGTCGTGGAGATCTACACGGCACGTAATAATAATAATAACGACGACGATGTCTCTCCAACGTGAGACCAACCACAGCAGCACCAGGCCCTCCGCCCTGGCTTCATGCGAGACGGAGGTGGCGTTATTGGGCGTGCGCGCGTGCTGCTAAACGATTCGTTGGTGGACGCTTACCGGGGACGAGTTGGTGTCTGCAGTCGCCCTCCAACAACAAGCGGAGCGCCGGGCCAGTGTGGAGCGCGGGTGGGTGGCATCTGCCGGTGAACTCAGTCAGTCAACCCGTGGCAACCACCTGGGGTGGGGGGGGGGGGGTGTCTGTCCCGCGGGCTCCGTGCCAGCAGCGACACTTCCACACTTTACGCAATGGCCCTTCGATGTGCATACCTCGCGATTCGGCGCACAACAGATTCTGTGAAGCGTCGCGATCCGAGATTCACTTTCGTGGCTTCGATCACGACCCTGACGCCCTGCTGTATATTTGGAGTTTGCGTTGTGTCTCTTCCCGTGGTCGCGTGGATTTTTCTCCGGGTCCTCCGGTTTTTTTCCTACTCTTACGCGATAATGCCATTTCGTCGAGCTATATCATTCGTGACCAGGTCGCTTCTGAAAAAAAAAAGCTTTCTATCTCCCAGTGGGGCCTTACCTGGTAAAACAAAAATTAACTCCCCGGTGAGCGTTTGCAGCACCCTCTGGTGGTCTCAGCTCTCACTCTCACATCACGCGTTCCACGAATCTAAAGCCGCTTCACGCCTCCTGCTAATCACGCGACTTCGGCAATGGCAACCCCCATTCTGCATCAATCCTCCTAGCCTCGCCCCCTCTGAAAACAGACTCTGCTGCATGCAACAGGAGCGCCACGGTGGCCGAGATGTTAACAACCTCGCCTGGCACGCAGGAGGCCCTGGGTTCGATCACGACCCTGACGCCTGCTGTATATTTTGGAGTTTACGTGTCCTCTCTTCCCGTGGTCGGGTGGATTTTTCTCCGGATTCCCTCCACCACATTTAGAAACGTGCGTTTAGATTATTTGTCCGCAATACATTTACACATGATGACGCTAAGCCACTTCGTTGAACGATAATTTGTGGCCGGGTCGCTTCTGAAAAAAGAGCTATATACAGGGTGCTTGATTTTTTTTTACACTTCTATGGGACTATCGTTTTTAATGGAACATGATAACAAATGAGTACCTGGTGTCTGGAATTTTCTCCAGGTGGTCTCCAGAGCCAGGGGGAGGCACATTTCTCGTGGTTATTGTTGCAAATTCTCACAAGTGTTAAAAAAATACATTTTTTTTAGCTCATTGGGTCTTACCTGGTAAAATTAAAATACATTTTTAGTTTATTTGCTGGTAGAAAAAAACATCGATTTTTACACGCGCGAATTGGAACACGTCCCCACGAGGTGAGCCCGTGGGCAAATATCGTGGCATTCGCCCGATCTCGTAGTGCAGCTTAGAGCCCGGGTTGCCCTCCGATGTGTGACCATCGGGCATTAAACAAAGCACTCAACAACACTCGTTAACAACACTGTGTGGCCTTACATGGAAACATAAAATAGGCAACGTTTTGGGCAATGGGCCTCCTGCACACCACAACGCAGTATCATCACAGGACATAGTTACATACAGTACGGCGGTTCTGTCGACCTTTGATGTGCGTGATGTAGTCAATAATTATGCTACTCGCTTGATGATGCTGGTTGCAACTGCCAGCGAAACGGATCGGGCCTAATTGTTAAGTGTGGTGGATAGCTCTTCGACATACCGATGTGCAGAAGCAATGTCTTTGTTCACGTCAGAGCTTTATTCTATTTGACCGTGTCGGGCGGAGAAGGGTGTACGACACACATTGGCATTATACTCACGCGATCTGACCGAACATGTTAATTATTAATCGTGTCTTTTGCTCGCGAAAGCCAACGCGTGTTAATTTTAAAGAGGCGATATTAACAGATTAATCCATGTCTTATTACACCCAGGGCTTAATTTCAGCCGGAGCTGTGCGGGACTGAGCTCCGGAAAATAGTGACCCCCCCCACCCCCGACCCCCACTGGTGTTTGGGCACTGGGGCGGGAGGTGGCATTCTAAGCCACGGTTACTCCTCTCGAGCCGAGAGCGACCCTCATCATCACTTCGGCCACCGCTGGCTCTCGCGCTCCCTCTCGTGGCTAGGCGTGCTTCCTGACGCGTTAGCAATCTGGTGTTTCGATGCATGCCATGTGTCCTGTATTCTCCAATCGTGTCGAGTACATTTGCGGGTAATCTTTCAACATTTGGCAAAATGTGGACCTACGACGCTTTGCACGCAACGGCCGGTCTACTCTTGCGAAAGACGCCACGGGATCTTTGGAATAGTTGGGCACGTACCCACACTTAACCCCACCCACACACATGCCCAAATCGACTGTGGTATACCCATTTATACTGCTGGACGGACGGAGGCGGGAGATGCAATTCCAGAGGTCGATGGTTCAATTCCAAGTCCAGTTTTTACTTATTTGCTTTACCAGGTAAAGCCCACTGAGCTACGAGCTATTTTTTTTTTCAGCGGCGACCTGGCCACACGTGATAGCTCATCAAAGTGGCTTATATCATCATAACACGTGGGAATTTACAGTTTCAGCCAAATAATCGAAACGCATGTTGATACTAATTGCGGAGGGGAAACCGGAGGACCCGGATAACAATCCACGCGACCACGGGGCGAGAGAGAACACGTGAACTCCAAATATACAGGCATCGGGATCGAACCCACGACTTCCTGCATGCCAGGCAAGGAAGATCTCACCGTGCACCCCAGTTTTCAAAGCTACACCACGGCAGTTATTGTCCGAAAAATGAGAGCCGTATTTGACTGGCTATCCCATGGTGCGGATACAAATTCATAGGCCCTTCGCAAAAACTTCATCCAAAAATAACTCCGTGCATTTGTGTTTTACTCCTGCGATGGTTCCTGCCGATGACCAAATCATCCGGAATGCACCAAATCTAACCAGGAGCGTGGAACCTAAGCAGATTTGAGCCTGGATAGTGCATGGGTCCACGACCACCACGCATAGCAGGTGTTATAGCCTGCTGCTCGGCTTTGCTGAGGGCAGTGCAGCAAGCATAAATTGTCCCGGAGTTCTACGCTCCTCGCCTCACCGACGCTGCCACTGATCAGTGTAGTGAAGTAGGGTCAAATGATCCCCATGACCGTCACGGCAAGGGAAGGCCCTCATCCAGCAGTGGATTGCCAAAGGGGCGTACAGGTATAACTCGTGCAAGTGGTTAGGGTGAGGGATATATTGAGCACTAATGGCTGGTTGGCTAGCTGGTCAAGGCTTAAGGTTAAACTTTGGTTAGCGAGTGTAGTTAGGGTTAGGGTCTAGTTGTTCAGTGCAGCTTGGGCTAGAATCAGATTGGCTTGGCATAGTTAAGAATTGAGGTAGGGTCTGATTGATTTGTGTGGCCAGGGATAGTGTCTGGCTGGCTGGTGTGTCTCGTGTGTAAAATAAATAAAAAATATCCCCCATATAGACTTACCAGACTGTTGGGGAAAGTGATGTTAGCGAGCACCTATGAAGGCCGGCACGTTACAGCAGATGGTCGGTGGCCAGCACCAATCCGGGCCGCCTTTGCCTCCCTTTTGTAGCAACGTTTACACACTCCGCACCGGGTACTAATCTGCGGCCGAGTCGACCTAGGGGCGGCCCAGGGTCGGTGCAGATAATCTTCACGGGTGTTCGCCGTGGACGGGGATCGAACTCGGGGGTTCGTAGCGGAGCGCGCTAACCGCTGCCCGCGCGCGTGAAAGTTCCGAGTTTCACATTCCGGGGTTTCACTTTTCCGTCCTCATTTTTCACTTGCGGAGACGACGGCCGACTCGCCGACCCCTCCTCCCCACCCCCGACTCCTTGCACGCGCGCCGCAGCAGCAGGGAATCACACTCGAGCGGCCAAGACCCACCGGTGCAGATACCAGCACTTTATTTGGTAGTGTTCATTAATAAAACACCGCACAACATAATTGGAAAACAATTATGAACTATTCCGTTCAAGTAACACTGTCTAGAGTATACACATAAGCGTACAGCCAAAGTGTTATAAATTGAGGAGTAATATAAACTAAAAATGTACATCATAGCACGTGTCTCTAATACAGTCAAAAAAAGGGCCGATATAAAGTATTGATTGAACACCGGTGGCACGCTGGGAGACAGAACAGGAGGCACTTCACTTCTCTATGATAAACGGCAAACGGTTACCAACACAGAACTCATACTTTAAAGGATTTCACCACTAAACTGCTTTCAATTTGGAAGCATAAGGATACTGTACACAACGACTGCAACATAAAGGCTTTTTTTATACAGAGATTATTTTCTTTTTTTTATCTTCCGGTTGCCAAAATGTTAATTTAAATATGAGCAAATATCCTTCGGAGCGAGAGTTTTTTTTTAATTACTAACCAAAAAAAAACGATACGACATGCAAACGCTCGACACGAATGATAGAAAGGTGTGTGTGTGTGTGCGCGCGCGCGCGCTCTATCAAGTCACTATATAAATGCTTTCTTTAAAAAAAATACAAATAAACAATACAATAATAAAAATCTAAAGAAAAAAATAACCCGGTGTAACGCAAGAGTCCGCAATTAGTCATGCAAGATGAGGCGTGGGGCCCGCTCGCTCCTACCCACGGTGCGACCGGCGAGCACCGCTGGGACCCCGAGTCCAACGGGATATTGGGATCGAACCCAAGGGGGCCTCCCTGCGTGACGGGGCGAGGGAGATAACGTCGCACCCGCGGCGCCCCAGTCTGCCCACCGTCAACCCGACGGCAGCTACGGTCCCAAAAGAATCGGAGAGCCGCATTCGACTCAACCGGTCACCCCCTCCCACCCCCAAAAAAAAAAAAACTCCGGCCACACCTGCGTCGAGCCCGTGGGGGCTGATTTCCAGCACGCGGTTGTAAACGGGCCCCTGGGGAATGGTATCCTGCGTAGGCTCTCTGTGCCACCGAGTCTCGACGAAGCGCAGTGCCTCTTACCGCGACGTTACGCAACCACGACGGCCTTTTCCCCACCGAGCTGGGAAATGTCGCCGCATGTCCACGACTCGAACGGAGAAAGGAAAAAAAAACGAAACCACTGTCCGACGATATAGCCCGGCTGCCTGTTAGAAACGAACCCGAAGGATCGAGGCGATCGATAATGTTAAAACTGTAAGGCGCAAACATCAGTCAGGTCTAAGGAAATCGTTTAATAATTTAAAACCGAAGTTGCATTCATGTCACCTTCACTCAGGAACTACCACTCTTTAAACCGGCTGCCCCGCTCTCTCAGGGGCCCACCGAGGATAAACACGGAATCATCATCGTCAACATGAACATAGAACTATATACAGCGCATACTCCCTCTCTCGTGTCAAAGAACGCCTCAAGTTATTTGGAATTACAAAACAATATGTACACCGGGCTGCTTGTGGTTCAGAGACCCCCGTCTTCAAATTGGCTTTATAAAATCTACTTTTAAAATATTTTTGACAAAATTCTTTCAGTACATACAGAGCTAAAGTTTACAGATAGCTTCTTTTCAATCTCAGATTCTCAAGCCTAATATCTAAATTTCTACAACCCCTATTTAAATATGGGGCATCTAATTTAAAGAGAAATAAATATATCTTTTGTTGTTTTCTAAACAGAAGCAAATGGCAGTGAACTCTCGAATCTTACGCACCTTTTCTGGACTTTTGAAAAGTTTATACTTCGCTTAAAAACAAAAACTTATGATATCAAGTACGCCAGGTCACCTCAACTCAACGTGAAGGATTGCGTCAATGTGATGGAAAAACCCCACGGGCGGGACACGAACGCTCCAATAAACTGTAAGGAGAAAATAAAATCAACAACAACAACAATAATAAAAAAAAATCAAGCGGTGTGAAAAGTGCCCGGAAAATAGATCGTAGTTTCTCCTTAAACCACAAAGGAACTGCGGTAACAAAAACAAAAAAACAAAAAAGACATACGTCCAACACACCCCGCACACAAAAAATACGCCGCTGCGAAGTTTTCAACAACAACGCAAGGTGGGGAACGTCACTGGCGGATACCTGTGGAGTTCATCCCACACTAGATGTCCCCCCCGCCGGCACTCCGACGCAGTGCGGCGGGGTGTTCCAGCACGTGCGCCTCAGTGGCGCGGGGGAGGGGGGGTTGTGCCCAAACCGAAAAAAGAATAAAACGACTACATCCGTTTACGAATGACGCACCCCCGAAGGGATTCACATACACAGGTTTACACTCCAGGCGGAAACGCGTTGAGAACTGAGGTACTAAAAGAGTCGCGCTGACATCGTGTTGAATCTCAATTTTTATGTTCCCATTATTTGTGCGCTCATCGTGCAATTAATGCATAGGCGTGGAAGCAAAGAAGTACAGCACAACAACGGGGGATTCGCTGCACTGCCCCCTCTGCTGCCAAACATCGATGCCTTTGTTCGCCAGTGAATTGACAAGAGCCGTCATCCAGGCTGATAGTGAAAACAAGAGCCTGTACGCACATTCAACAACCCACATTTGAAACCGCCCCCTCTCGTATGCATTATTGTACGTATGCCCTCGTTGTGCAATTTACAAATCGCCTCCCTAATAAGCCTGCAGCCGGGATGCGCGGCGCGGCCCCGTGAACTTGCAGGGAAAGCCTGGCCACAGCTGCTCGGCAGTGGCGAGCGGCAAATCGGAGCGCGGGGGCGGAACTGCAAGCTACGGTCTCCCCGGCTCCGTCGCTCACGCAAGGGGAGTCTGGCCTCCAGGTCCTCTTAATCGCACGCGCAAAAGAGACGGTGAAGCGTCGACCGGGGAGTGTGCCGCGTCGAGTGCTCATCGGATCTCCATCCAAGGACTTTGACTCCGCTAAGTTTCTGAAAATCTCGGTTAAACTCAGACCCTCTTGTCAGACGAGGTGAATTGGGTCACTCTATGGGGGGCCTCCGAGTGCAGTCGCTGCTGGGAACGGGGGGGGGGGGTTCAATCGGGGACAACGGCAAGACGATTATGGCAGCGGAGGAGGATTAGGCTCGGGCAATTTCAATACCGATCGACAATGAACACTCAAAATGGACACTTCCGAGTCCAGGGGTTTACATTTTTTTGGTCGTGACTGGTGAACAATTACTTGATACACACGAGGTCTCTATACAAAATGCTCGCGAGTTGTTTTAACAGCTGGTAGGTGATAATTTGGAAACCGTGCGAGTTGTTTCGGTTCATCGACACTCAAGAGATTGAGGGGGAGGGCATGGGGGAAGAAAATCCATTCATTTGCGACGATTTTTTTTACCGATGCGCTGTCTCACAGCAAGACGCCTAAGAGTACCACCGACCCCTGGGTGTTCTAATTGCAACTTTTGTGGCATTTATCGAGTGCGTCTATGTACGACAAGTATGACAGACACAACACTTACACACCCTTCTTACACGTCTCCTTTTGTTTTGCTTAAATCCATCCATCCGTCCACCCACAGCAGAACGTCTCCCAAAGAAACCTCTACGCCAGTGGTTCTTAACCTTTGCTGCAGCTTTGCACCCCCACCCCCCCCCCCCCCTTTGGTTCTCAATTGTAAAAAAAAAAGGTACAATGTTAATAAATACATAGGGTTTGATGAAACAAAGTAGTTGTACCCACGTGCCCGTGCGTAATTTGCCTTCTCTACGATTTACCTTCTGACAAAAATCTGGCCATGTCTCGCACCCCCAGGGGGTGCGTGCACCCCAGGTTAAGAACCACTGCACTACGCGATCGACATGGGAGGAGCCGGGCCCGAGAGCGTTTGGGCTCGACAAACGTTGGAGGGGGGTTGGCTGAAAAACAACAGAACTGATCGGACGTCGCGGAAAGTTAAGTGTACAGGAGGTTCGTCAAGAAAACAAGTACGGCATTCTCCCAACGGCTTGCGTGCAGTACGCACCCCCCTGGCATTGTGTTGACGAGATACGACTGAGGAGGGCAATTAATGCGGACTCAAAACGGTGAGAGCGATGGCGAAAGATTCCAAACTACCACTGAAGCCAAACGTTATTTTCCGTGAAAAAAAAAACCATTCCTTTTTTTCTTCTTTACACACCCCCTCTGCAAATATTTCTAGAATTAAATCGGTCGCGAAACTGAGCACTACACCCTATTTGTGTAACCATCAGAGTGCGAGTGGACCATCCCCATTCGACTGCGACCAACCCTCAGACTCGCCCGTCGCCGAATGCCGGAACAAACTACCGTAAGTGGCCGACGCGCTCGCCAGCGCGGAAAACTCGCCCGGTTAAACCGGAGGCGAATCAACGGAGCCTTTATTTTCACGAGGCTTCCGAAAGACTTCCAAAGCCACGGCTACGGCCTGCGACTTTCCCTTCAGCCCGCCGCCTTGTGCTTGCCTCCGCAGCAGCCGCACACCTTCCCGCACGTGTAGCAGCCCTGCAGCGGCGGGTACAGGCACAGGCAGGGCACCAGCAGCGAGAGAGCGACCAGCGCCGCCCAGCGCAGGCCGAACCTCTCGTGGCCGCCCGTCTCGCACGAGCAGGGGTCCGAGTAGTTCCCCTCGGGGTCGGCCATGCAGTGGTACAGCATGCTCTCCGCGGCGCACATGCAACTGAGCGCCGTCACGCAGCGACGGGCAGGGTCCGGCGCGTCCGGGCAGCCCCCGCGCCGGTTGCCCGGCGGGTCGAACGCCGCGCGGCAGTACTTGCACCGCAGCACCCCGCCGCCGCCGCCGCCGCCGGCGACCCCTTCCTCCTCGCGCGCCTGCTGCTGCTGCTGCTGCGGCAGCTGCTGCTGCTCGCACAGCTGCAGCTGCTGCGGGTGGCGCGCCGCCGGCGCCTTGCCGAAGCGGCCGGCGCCCCGCTCCTCCTTCTCGGCCTCGGCCTCGCCGGGGCTGCCGCGTGACCGCTCGTACTCGGCTTTCTTGCCGTCCCCCTTGCAGCCGACCTGCACGTAGTGGCCCTGGAGCGCCTGCAGGTCGCGCTTGCGCGCCGCTGCGTCCCGGTAGTCGTCGTAGCCGCCGCGCACTCCCATGAGGCCGCGCTCCTCGGGCGCGTTGCCCTGCGCCGCCTCGTCCTCCTCGTCCTCGTCCTGGAAGCTCACGTGCCGCCCCAGCTTGCCGCGCGCCTGTACGGGAGAGACACGGCAAGAGCACACTCCTGACGGCCGGCAAACCCGGCTTCGGGCACCCTACGTGTCCTTGAGCAGCCCCGCCCCATCCCCCCGTCGATACGGATGAGATACTGCTAAGAGGAGAATGTGCGAGGGTAGAATTCGTCAAGGAGCACAAACCGTCGAATGAACTCGGGTCGTCCTCGCAGCGGAAGCTTTTGGCTCGCAATCGTGCAAAGACGGTCGCAGCATGGCGCGCTTTGAGGTGCGCTTCTGCGGCCGTCTGGAACGCTCTTCCTTCCGATATTAGGAAGCCGCTGGGAGCTATGCACTTTTAAATCTTCTTTATTGAAAACTACTTTCTTTACAACTGTTTATTGCGTTCAGATTGTTGTGCTTCCCCCGCACCTCCGATGAGCACGGTTTGCTACGTACGGTGCGAAAGAAGTTGAACATACGTTCATAACAATATTATACAAATATAATAAAGCACGTGCCTATTCCACCATTGACAAATAAAACAATTACTCGCCAACCACCCGACTGGCAGATTAAACAATGGGGGGGAGGGGGGGGTATAGCATTAGTTTGGTCGTTTGCCCTGCTTCTGTTTTTGCTTCCTGCCTTCCATGCATTGTGCATTGGGATCCTAAGATGGAATGTGCATTATACATTTAAATTATTATAAATTGTAATTATTGCAAAAAAAGTAAAACAAATAAAAACAGATGGTCTGTTTTTACCAAGGAAAACAAATATTTACCCACAACCCACCCAACTGGCAGACTATACCCATCTGTGGAACATAGCAACTTTGCAAGAATATGAAATGTTACTCATGAAAACATGAACACACTGCGTACCTTTTAGAAAAAAAACATTTAGTTCTATAAATCAAGTGCAGCGGATAGTTATTTCAAAACTTTCAGTGTGATGGCCACAGGAATGCTGAGAAATAAAATTGTTATTATTATTACTCAAGACCTTGTTTACCCGGGAAAGTCACATTGAGTCTTAAGACTCTTTTTCAGGAGGGTCCTGCCAAGTTTTCACAGTCGCGATTGATGTTGTGTTCTGCAAACCCAACTGAATTACTTTGCAGATACATTTTCAGCACCAGGGAATGTTTATCCAATACCAGTTACGTCGTTTTTTTCTTCTTTTAAATATATTCGTTCGTTCGTTTGTTCGTTTCTCAGTCCGCTTTTCCTGGTGAGGGTCGCGGCGGCAGCATGTTGAGCAGGGCGGTCCAGAAACCTCCCTTTCCCTGGCGACAGATTCTAGCTCTTCCTGGAGAATTCTCACGTGTTCCCAGGCCAGCAGCGCGACACAGTCCCGCCGGTATGTCTCTTGGACCAGCCCCGGGGCCTTCGCCCGGTGGGACGTGCTGCCCGGTAAAGTTCCAGGGGGAGTCTACCGGGTGGGGCATCCTTACAGGGTGCCCAAACCACCTCTAGTGGCTCCTCTCGATGCGGAGGAGCAGCGGCGGCTCGACTCTGAGGCTCTCCCTGATTACCGAGCTCCTCACCCAATCACGAAGAGTGAGCCTGGCAACGTTGCGGAAAAACCTCATTTCGGTCCCTTGTACCTGCGATGTCATCCTTTCGGTCATTACCCAAAGCTCATGACCAAAGGTGAGGGTGGGAATGAAGATCGACCTGATAATGGTGAGCTTTGTTCGAGAACTCAGCTCCCACTTCACTACCACGGAACGGGACAGCGCCCACAACACTGTGGACGCTGCACCGATCCGCCGGGAGATCTCCCGCTCCCACTTACCATCACTCGCGAAAGAGACCCCGAGGTACTTAAACTCCTCCACTAAGTGCAGCTGTTCCCCCCTTACCTGGAGAGAACAATCCACCATCTCCCGGGAGTGAACCATGGACCTCAGATTTGGAGGGGCTGATCCTCATCCCAGCCGCTTCACACTCGGCATCAAACCGTCCAAGTGCACGTTGGAGGTCACAGACTGACGAGGCAAAGATGACAACGTCATCTGCAAAAAAGCAGCGACGCCACCTCCATGCCCCCGTACCGGATACTCTCCATGCCTCGGCTGCGCCTTGATATCCTGTCCAGGAGACAAGACGCATCCTTGGCGAAGTCCAACACGCTCCCATAGCTATATATATAGCTATGGGAGGAAACCGGAAAACCCCGGAGGAAGCTCGTGCAAAACAAGGGGGGAGGAGCATACAAACTCCACACAGAAAGGCGCCCCGAGTCGGGAATCGAACCGCCATCCACACGTGACTCATCGAGAAGGCAGCGGCGGTGTCTGACATCGCTGGGGAGTTGGGGAGGATGTTACACTCGGACGCAAACACAGGGGCATGATGATGCCCCTTGGACCTACTCGCCGAGAGTCTACGCACGCAGGATACTCCCCCCGTTCGGCAATGGCGGGGAATGCGTTCGGTGATTTCTGTGCGGAAAGAGAAAAAAAAAACCCGGTGAACTCATCACAAATTAAAACTGGAGGCAATTCTGTAAGTGGTGTGTATTCGTCACTGCAAAAAAATTGCGCATTGCTCACTAATTTTGAGAACGTCATCTCTCATCCAATCGAGCGATGTAAATGCATTAAGCTGCCCGCCTTTAAAAATAATAATGCACCGTCCGGTTTTTAGTTTCCGAGCGTGCGCACGTGCCGATCACACGCACAATGACGGTGACGCCATGAACGGCGCATTTCAGGGGCCTACAGCGATAGCGATGGGCCTCCTCAAATACAGGGGGTGTGGTTTTTCAATTGCTGTCTAATCCGTACATAATCTGTGTGTCCCTCTTTCATCTGTGCTCATGGCCGTGACGGTGCGTGCGTTGGCACGCGTGCGTGCGTGTGTTTCTTCACTGCTCGCGTGTTCCTCTCCCCAGGCCCTCTTCCTCACCGTCGCCTGATGTCCCTTCCCTCCCCCGTCCTTCTTCACCAGGGCGGGAGAAATGCCTTCCACACTGAGCTGGAGACAAAACCCGCGGCGGGATCAGTTCTGCCGCCAAGCGGCCGCAAATCACCGGCAACCCCGGGATGTGTATTTATTTACATATGCGGCATTTACGCGGCATTTATGCATTAGCGTTGGCACCATTTAGAAGGTGAAGGCGCAGTCCTGCATTTTCTCGCTCCCGCCACTGCTGGCGGAAGGGCCTCCAGCCAGAGGGAGCTCCAGAGAGCCCCTCTAGAAAGTTATTTGGCCTACTCTTCCACACTGGCCCAACGTCTTTGAAAGAGATGGGAGTACGCGCACACTTTACCCACACCGCTCGAGGCCTGCATGCAAAGTATAATTTTTTACAGCCCTTTATCAATCCACTGCTGGATGAAGGCCTTCACTTCACATGCCTCTTGGTCACGGGGGGCTGCTTGACAATGCTCCGCCACGCAAGTCGGGACAGGTTACTGGTGTTTGCCGTGGCCGGGAATCAAGCTCAGGTCGCCGGGTTTCAAAAGTGCGGTACGCTAATCACTGCGTCACGACTCCACCCCGTTGGTAGTTTAACACGGACGCAATGAAAGATGCAGCGAGTACCCCGCGTGTGCCTCAACACAGCCCATGCTCGTGTGGACTTCCTGAGACGTAAACAAGGAGAAGCTGGGTTCAAATCCCAGGGCTGGCAAAACTCAGAGATCCGATGCCCGTGCAAGGGGGAAAAAAACAATAAACGCATACCCCCCTTAATCGTATGTTTTGAGAGATATTGCAGGCAACAAAAAGCACGTACCGGGTATTGCTGGAAGAATTATCCGATGTTGGTTTGCGCTAATGAAGGCGCGGGACTCGTCAGTAACGAATGGCTGATAACAACCGCCGACACAAACCTGGTCGTTGTAGTGTAACCTCGTACGAGGCTGTGCTGAGGAAGCAGAAAGAAAACTTGAGCGGAAACTACTCAACCGTTGCAGCCGGGCATGAGGCGGAGAGGCACCCGCGGTGGCGAGATGTTAACCACCTCGCCCGGTGTACAGGAGGTCGCGGGTTTGATCCTGACCCTGATGTATATTTCGAGTTTGCATCTTTACCCCGTGGTCACGTGGATTTATCCTCCATTTTTCCCCTCCACATTTAGAGTCAACGTCACACATTTAGAGTATTTGTCTGCTGCCAGAAATGTCCACGCGATGAGCCACTTTGTTGGGCTGTCATTTGCGATAGCCAGGTCGCTTCTGATAAAGAGCTACATAGCTCAGTGGGCCTTACCTGGTGAAATAAAAATAGTTGAATTTAGGAAATGGGGCAACACGCTCAGCGAATAAACAGAGGAACCTGGTGAAACAGAACTGCGCCTCTGAGTCCAGCTTGGCTCGGAGCGACTAATAGTTGAAGGCGCTTGAGATAGAAGAAGAAGTAGAAGAGGAAGAAGTAGTAGAAGAAATAATAGAATAAGAAGAAGTAGAAGTAAAAGAAGAACGTGAAGAAGAAGAAGATGAAGAAGAGGAAGAAGAAGAGGAAGAAGAAGAGGAAGAAGAAGAAGTTGTAGAAGAAGAAGAGGAAGAGGAAGGAGAAGTAGAAGAAGTAAAATAAGTCGTAGTAGAAGAAGAAGTGGAAGAAGAGGAAGAAGTGGAAGAAGAAGTTGTAGAGGAAGAAGTAGAGGAAGAACGTGAAGAAGAAGAAGAGATGAAGAAGAAGAAGATGAAGAGGAAGAAGAAGAGGAAGAGGAAGAAGAAGTTGTAGAAGAAGAAGAAGAAGAGGAAGAAGAAGTTGTAGAAGAAGAAGTGGAAGAAGAAGAAGTGGAAGAAGAAGAACTAGAAGAAGAGGAAGAAGTTGTAGAAGTAGAAGAAGAAGTTGTAGAGGAATAAGAGGAAGAAGAAATTAAAAAAACTAGAGCGCCCATCTCTTGCAGGCCGCACCGCTCGTGTTACTCCGCGCGAAGTCCCGACGTTTCACTCCACGTGACGTGCTGGAGAGCCCCATCGGGAAGTCGCACGCCCAGCTCCGGGCATGTGACGCGAAACGCCGTACGCGTCAGGCGTGGCAACACGCGGGCAAGGGCTCCCCAACGCCGTTTCACGTTTGCGGGTGTTGGCGGGCGACCGCGTAGCGGCTTCGCCGTCGGGGCTGTCGGCACCGACCGTGCGTTGTTCGGCGCGGTGTCCGACGATTCGCTCCATGTCTCTCATTCAGGAGGCGAACATTCGCGTCGGGTTAGTCCTCTGCGAATGTGATCCGTTACTTTGATCCTCGCCTCTGCATCGACGGCTCAATGTCCATGTGCCATCTTATTGCGGGACTACTGCTGCGGTGTTATCTTGGTGCGGCCTGGGACTGTTTCATTGTCATTTTTGCTGCCCTGCCCAAACTTGATAAATCCGACTTCTATAACCATAAATGTGTGAATTATTTATGTTTATTTAGCGGCTTGCTGAACTTTTTCTCTATTTCGCACTCCTAACGTTGTTTTTGTAATGTTTGCTGTTGTAACTCGCTGACCCGCCCATACTGGACATCTGTGTACAAAGAGCTTCACAGCTCATTGGGTTCCTCCTGCAGTCGAAATCAAGTTTCTGGTTCTCATTCGGGGTCAGCACACGCAGCGGAACGCTGGGCACTGAGCTAAATTGAAAACCCATTTCTTGAGAGCTACTTTGTTGCGTTCAGTTTGCTGTCCTTCCCTCGCACCTCACGATTAGCACGGTTGGCTACGTGCGAGAGGAGTTCAAGAAGTTCAAATGCAAGACCCGAAATCACGCAGCGCGATCCCGCCAAAGGAAACTCCGCAATTCATCACCTGTTTTTTTTTTTATGAAATAACTCAGGAAAAGCACTTTGACAATGGCAAAGCAAACAGGCGGGATTTATTTACCCGTGAAATAATGTATCTGTTAAACGAAGCGCCTTCCAACGAAAGCAGCGCCCGCCAAGGCTTCACCGGCAGCGGCGCGGATCTTTCCCGGCAGGCGAAGGCCTCGAAAACTCGGCAAATCCCTCGCCCACGCCGGACTTCGGCCTGCCCCTCGCATTTATTTCTGCCGAACCAAATGGCGGCGAGCACGCCGCTCGCCCACTCTCGTTGCTCCTCGCCCGCCAGACGATTGCCTCGCGGCATTTTTTTGCCCATCCGGCAGCGGCGATGAAGCGCTCCTCTGCCCCCCCCCCGCCCCCCCACATTGCCTCGCGAAGGAACTTTTTTATAGTACAGGAAAATAACTGTGGGCAGAGGTGGTGGCGGGCGCAAGGACGGCAGAGCACCGCGGGCATTTACGCAAGAATAGCCGCCCGCATTTTGTTAATCCTTTGGGTGCGCAGTCATATATTTATACACGCCCACGCACGTGTAAATATACACGTGCTCAAACATATATCCACAAAGTCAAAGATCCCCCCCCCCACCCCGTATAGGCTTAACAGACTGTTGGGGCAAGTGCTGTTGGCCAGTTACGATGAAGGCCGGAACGGCACACGAGGGGGTGGGTGGCCAGCACCACGCCCGACCGCCTTTGTCTCCCCAGTGGCGATGTTTACACACCGCACCAGGTACTCATTTGAGGCGGCGTCGGCCTAGGGGAGGCCCAGAACCGGTACAGAAAATCGTTACTGGTGTTGGCCGTGAGCGGGGATCGAAGTCGGGTCGCCAGGTTGGTAGCGAGGTGCGCTAACCGCTACACTCCCGATCGCCACACACACGCACACAGCTGCACGCACACACGTACACACGCACAGCAAGTGCCATTGTAGCTCCAAGGAACATTAAGATTTTAGTGCAACGGGAAATGCATTCGGAACGTGCCGAAGGTCACCATCATTATCATGCGTGGCAGTGCCAGGGCAAAAGATAAAATAATGAACAAAAAGTGCGGGGGGGGGGAAACAACAAGCCAGAATGCCACTCCATTAAGCGAGCCTCCATTGTCACATCTGTGGTGGTTTTTGTCTTTTTTAACTGCACGTGTCTTTTTTGTCGAGCCAGGGAAGCGGTGGCACAGTGGCCGGCGCACTGCGCTATGACCGAGAGTTCAATATGTGAACTGGTCCTGGGCCTCTCCCAGGGTCGACTCTGCCTCAAATGAGTACCTGATGTGATATTGTAAACATCGGCACTGGGAGAGAAAAAGTGACCGGGCGCGGTTCTGGCAAGTGCCACCTTCTTGTGCGTCATACCTATTTCAATAGGTGCTCGGCTAACATCACACGAACACCCCAATTGCCCATTAAGGATATACAGGGCATATTCGTCTCTGTGTCTTTGTAGTCGTAACTAGCGGCATGTATCGCCTTGGGACTCATCTTAAACTAAATACGGGAGCGCAATTCATTTCACCCACCAATGCAATTAAAAAAGTTTAGAAACATCCGATGAACTCCGTTGCCAATAACAGAGGGCCCCTGTTGTTTGCAGCGACACGAATTGGCCGCATGCACAAGGGATGGGGGTGGGGGGTTTCAGAAACCGCGTCCTTTCGGAGCCTCCTTAAAAAAAAAGTCAAACAAAAAACCACCGCCGTGTTCCCCTTGAAGCCCGTGCACACGCTGCAGCAGAGCGGTCGCCAACGTTCGACGCGAACAAGCGGCTCACACGGTCGCGGTGCTGCGCCTGGGAGGGGCGGCTGAACAATGGGGCAGATTTCCACGCAAAAAAAAAATCCATCACGTGATGCTGTTAGCGAGCAATCTATTAAAGCCGGCGCGGTGCACGAGGTGGCCCGGTGTGGCCAGCAGCACGGCCCGGCGCCAGCCGTGTCTCCCCGGCGCTGACGTTTACACGCTGCACCAGTGATAATGATTTAAGGCCAAGTAGACCTAAGGGGGAGGCCCAGGACCGGTTCGGATATTCGTCGCCGACATTAGCCACGAGTGGAAAGGGGTAGCACTTGGGGTGGGTGACTGCCTCGCACAACAGGTTTAGAGGCTGCTCCCAGCCATCACAAACCCGCCCTGACGATCGTGGTGAATGACGGTCAAATAACCCCCACGGAGGCAGGAGGCCCTAATCCAGCAGTGGATTGACATAGGGCTGCACAGGT